ACTCAAGAACACAGAACAGGTAAAGACCTGGGATTAGAGAGGTTGACCCCCCCTTTACTATATCCTTTCCTTTGTCTCTCCATTAATTACTTCCCTACCCCCCCCCCTTTTATTTCTTCAGAGTAGGGAAGAGTGTAACCTTTAAGGTTACACACATGACTTTAGTTAAGTATATAAAGGGCTATTTGTAGACACTTAGAGATTATCTTTGTACTTGCTCCTGTACTTAGGTTGACCTCTCCAATCCCAGGTCTTTGCCTGTTCCATGTTCTTGAGTTAGGCTCTAGCCTTTACATACTTCTGGGTTTGTCTTTGTCCTTTAAGGCCTAATACAGAGTTTGTACAACTTACTTGTTCAAGTTTAAACACTGTACCACTACAGTATTTGTCTTCTTCATAGTAAGTTCTCTCATAACTACATTGTTTACTAATCTAATACATAAGTAGAACCACTACTGTGTACTGTTAGATACTGTTACAAGTATTGTCTGTAAGTGTTTGTGTTACTGTCAACTGTATGTATTAAGAATTAATATACACATACTATAGTCAAAAGTTTTGAAGAGACTCTTACAAGGTGACTAATAAGGGATTGTCATGTATATCCTCTGTATCTGCCTTAGCCAAAATGGTGCTGATAGTGATAGTGTGGAAGAACTCACAGTTATGAGAAAGGGCTATTAAGATACAGGTCTGAGTATGTTCTGGATATACACAATTACTAGTAAGTATGACTTGTCTGACTAACTGAAATGTTCATTCTCTTCTACAGCTTGGCTCACAATTGTTCTAATTGACTGTAAGAAGTCCTTTGTATTCTAAACTGTTATGATTCATATTATTTGTCATAATTTTGGATATTCTTCTAATGTAGATTGTTATACTATATGCTGGAAGTTTGTTTGTCTATCAATTGTTAAGATCAAGTGTGAAACATGACATCTGTATAGATAAGACACTGAATGTGTGTTTAAAAATGGCTCTCTTTTTGCAAGCAGCTACTATACTCAGTATTCTTGTTTATAACACAATAGAAGACAGTATTTTCCTCCTCTTTCCCTTCTAAGCCTATTTCTGTTGAAGAAAGTTACTATTTAGTAACTGTCAAGAGTCTTACAAAAGACTTAACTATCTGTACCTTGAGTGTTAGGCCTCTATATGAATTAGTAATAGTATAGTGTATATTCATAAATAGCTTGTCTGAATATTTAGTAATAGTTTCAGGATATTACTAATACTTTCCAGGTTTCTTTTACTCTACCTTACAGTTTACAAAGTAGTAGATATCCAAATACAAATGACTTTCAGAGGGCTTCAACTTGTCAAGATTATTATTCAGGATCAGGTCATATGTTATTACTTGTAAGTGAAACAAAGTCTTATTATTTGAACAGTCATTTTACTTGTATACAATATTATACAGTTTTATTATAGTTGCTACTTTGAAAATGGCCTACATTATTACTGACAAACAACAGACTGTAATCATCTTATTCTCAGTTAGGAACCCTGTACTTCTGTGTATCCTTAGTGATCAATTGTTGATCAACTTGAAGGAGACTACTAGCTGTAATGTAAATATTGAGTCAAATTATTATATGTCTGGATAAAGTAATATTGTTGAATTTTCATAATGTAAGTTACTATTATTTTTGTATTTTCTCCCTGACTCAAGAGTTATACTTATTTTTATTCAAGTTGCTTGTAACAGAATCCAGTATGACTGGGTCTAACTATTACTATATTGATATTTATTTGTCTTACAAACAGGTATACAGTTGAAAATGTCTTATTACATTACATTGTAATGCATAAATAGCATAATGTATAGACTTTTGGCCAGACCAAAACTCAGGTCCTCAGCCAAAATGTATTGTTATAATGCATAAATTGTATCATGCATTGGGTTTAGCCCTCTCCCAACATTATACAATAAGACATTTTCAACTGTATTACCTTTACATTATTCACAACTCTACCAATGTATAACTGTATAATTAGTATACAAATTCCCTGCTTATATCTACCTTGTATGGAAATCTAAGAAGACATTCAGGATGAGTGCAACAAGTGTATATATATTTGACAATGAAACACTTAAATAATAGTATGCCTTGCTTTGAGAGAATGGAAATAAAAAATATAGAGAATGTCTATTGCCTAAACCGTGGAACCATCATCCCCAGTCGAGGAAGATCGCTCTGGTTGCAATCCCTTGCTTTTACAAGTTAGAATGAAGAAAGCTGGACAAACTAGGGAGAAAGCCGATTCTAATCGAAGGCGCATCCGATGACTCATCCTACTAAAAATGTATCGATCTGCCTATTTAAGTTAAGCCAAATTTGGAGTAATCCAAACGGATCCTATCGTTTTGCACTAGAAGTATGATGTGTTCATTTGTTATTCAATACGCTCAACGTATCACATGATCACATGCCTTCTTCCCCTTCAGATATATACCCGTCTGCAGTACTCCTTTTTGTACCTCCAGGCCCTGTAACCATGCGAATGCATGTCTGCCTCTTGGACAGTCTATCCTCGCTCCGACCCAGCACCCATTGACCCAGAATTCGTGCCAATGGCTGTATCTATAATCAGAATCGAACAGTACTGTTCAGTTGTGTCTGCGACACTTTTAGTTTACTACTTTAGTATGTTCATGATCAAGTCTTTCGTGTCGAGTTAGTCCTAACGCTACATACAGTGCTACAAACGGACAAGGAGGTTCGGTTTTCTGTCGATTACGTTGCTGATAATACTCAGAAGTGAACAGATTAAGTACTTCTGGGTTTGTCGCTTTTCTCCTATGGTCTAAAGCGGAGTTCGACTTACTCTTTCAAGACTACACGCTGTACTACTGCAACATTCATCTTCTTTGCAGTAAGTACTCTCATAACGCGATTCCTGTCTAATCTCATCCATGAGCAGAATCGCTTTTTCGCAGTGTTAGGCGCTGTTTCACGCATTATCTGTAAGTATCCTTATTACTGTCAACCGTAAACATTGTAGATTGGCGTGCTCGTACCGTAGTTAATGGGTTCAAAGAAACTCTGGAAAGGTGCGCAATTAGGTATAGTTAACGTCTATACACTGTCTTGATGAGCCCCTTTCTCTAGCTGTGGGTTCTTCCACTCTACATTTATTCGCAACCTTTTCGTTGAGTCGATTTTAGGTTTTAGTTCATTCTGGATAGGCACGATCAGTAGTAAGTATTGTCTATCTGACCATTTGAGGCGTGCTCATCTACTTTCAATAGCTTGGCTCACGACTGTTTTAATCGATTGTAAGGAATATCATGTATCCTGAACTTCCGTGATTCATGCTATCTGTTTTGCCCTGGTAGATATTCTACTAATGCGGGTTGTTGCACTATACAACCAAGGTCCGTCAATTGATTATCGATATTGAATGTAAAGGTGACGTTCATATAGACAGGAGACTAGAAACGTGGTTAAAAGTCATCCTAATCTCGCAAGCGGCTGCAACGCTTGGAGTTCTCGTTTATTACACGTATTTGGAAAATGGTATTATCTTTTTTTCTTCTCAAGAGCTATTTCGGCTGAAGGAGGATGCTGTCTAGTAACCGTCAGGAGTCTTGCGACAGGCGTAACAATCTGTGGCCTGAGTATAAGACCCCCATATGAGTTAGTAATTGTGTGGTGCGTTTTCACAGATAGCTTGACAGTTTATAAATTGACTTTCTTCAGGGTGTTACCGATTGCGAACGGATTTCTTTTACTCTGTTTGGCGGTCTACAAAGCAGTAGATATTCAAAAACACACGACTTTCAAGGGCCTTCAACTCGTCAAGGTTATTGTCCAAGGTCAAGCCATATATTATTGCTTGTAAGTAAGATAAAGTCATTCTTACTCAACCTTTAAGATTAACGTCTTCATAGCTTCATTGCGGTTGGAGCTCTGAGAATGGGCTTCCTTATTACCAACAATCCACAGACTGCGATCATCTTGTTTGGAATCGGGAGTCCTGAGCTCCTATGTATTCTTGGTGATCAGCTATTGATCAACTTGAAGGAGGCTGCATGCTGCGATGTGAACATACAGTCGAATTATTGGTTGTCTGGAGCGAGTGATGACATTGAACTTTCGCAGTGTAAGTCACTGGTGTACTTCCAATGTGAATTGAGAGCTGTGCTTATTCATGTCAAAGTTTCTTGACGTCAAAATTGGAACGACTGGTTATACTGTGATTGTTTTTATATTTGTTTTGACTAGTGTATAAACATGTTTATCTATTTCTATTTCCACATGTACTATATTTGTCACCTCTTATCTCTACTTCATATTACAGAGAGAACAATCAAGGCAAGACGTTCGAAACCAGTGTAGAATTTGTTAAAGAAAAACCTTAGTTCCTGTGGCGTCGTGTGGCGTTGTGTGGCGTTGCTTCGAGACATTGTGTGATATTCAGCAGGTGAAATTGACCACTCCCCAAAGGAGAAAGAACATTCTGATCTGATAATCATTTGTCATTCTTTTACAAATTGTGAATGAAGAGTCTCGAATGGCTTGCCAAGACTGTTCAAGGGACTTGTTGCAATTGCTGACAATGGCTCAAGGCACGCTTATCAAGCTACATAAAGCTAATGTTGCATGGTTAGGTATTGTCCGGTACTGTAAGTATAGTTTTACCCTCATAGTATGTGATTCTGGATTCAGAACATACAATCCTGTGGTTACATCAGATCCGTTGAATAGATTAGCAAGCAGTCTTCAACACATGTATGTGAGTGAGAAAATGTGAGTGTTGATTGACACAGGGTTCTCAAAGCATAAAACAGTATAAGTAACATAGTATCAGCTGTTCTGTTTGATCAGTCAGGAGGATCAGGGCTCGGGACATTCAATCCCGTGGCCACAGTAGTAATTAAAAATAGCCAAGATGTGTAAACAAGGAGTGGTAATGTCGGATTAATGGGTAGAAGAAGATAGGTCAGATGAGTTGTATAGTTGTGGAACGTGTTTATACTGAATGTTATACCTTTGGATTGTATTTGACTTTGACTTTCATTACAGCCACTCAGGACCCAACCTTAATATTAATCCTGCTCCGGCACAGTTGTATTTGGAATGGGTGTACATGAGCAGTGTTGAACAATTTGTTATTGCTCCTGTAAATATGTTTTCAAGGAAGATTCATATGAACACATATTATTAAACAGTGAATAAAGTGTAAATACTTTGATACAAGAAGACAACATAAGTGTGTTGTAGTTTCAAGCATCCTGTATTCAGTTCTTTTCCCGCTCGTACCTCTTTTCGTGTCATCAAGTTGTTTTCTTTAGTATAATGTGATAGTTCAACAAAGGGTATGATAATTAGTGTTGTCTTTATTCTTTTTCGATTTGCCTATCTTTTGGAGACTACAGGCTACAGTTACATTATGTATTCTCACGTCCATCTTCTTGAAAAAGATCATGGCTGAGACAAGGGTGATATAGATTTGTTTACTACTGCTGAAGAACCTCAATATTAATTGTACAGCCACGGTCAGATTCGAAATAGACACATACAAGTGGTGTTGAGCACACTATCGTTATTCCCATGTGCTTGTTTACAACTCAAGAAGTGAGCTTTGTGAAAGAACCAGTCAAATATACTTCTTTTATCAAAAAAGAAGTTTCAGAAGGAAGAGCATGTGTATATAATATATGGATAGATTTGCAATGCTGTGTTTGGTGCGTCGACTCGGAGTTATTACCTGGTCGTGTACATGGTGGAAGTTGGAAGATGGCCTCAAGGGTCGGGAGTCGGGAGTCGGGAATCGGGACGTGTCTGTCCTGTGGTCACGGCGGAATGTACTCAGAGGACTTAGCAGCCATGCAGAAAGTAGATAGGCTAGTATTGACACCGAGGTATTGAGTATTGAAGGAAGTAAGTCAGATGAGTGGTTTATTATACTGTATTACTGTGTGATCACTTTGACAGAACACTATGAATGAATTACAGGTGATATAGTTTGTCAATTAGGTCTTGTGTTAATGCTAAGATGGTATGGAGCAGTGCTTTGAATTTGGTTAGAGCCGCTAAAGGACCCTTGAGCCTTCAGCGTCAAATTTCAATAGTCATGCTCATGCTGCTGGAGCCATGCGTAGTTGCATTCGAAATAGTTGAATTCGAAATAGGTGTATATGGGCGGTGTTGGACGAGTTATTGCTGTTCCTGTTAGCTTGTTTACAAGTTAAGATGACTGTTTTGTAAAAGAAGTTGGTTAATTAGAGAAATAATTTGAGAAGATAACATGAGCAGAAGTCTGTCGACGAAATACAATAGGATGAGTATGTGAAAGAACTCGCAGTGTTGGGCGCTCACTCCGTGCTTTTCTCCGTAGGCTTGATTACGATTAATCATTACATTCTAGGAAGAATATGTTTGTGAAAGATAGACTTAGCGATAGTTCGAGAAGACGAACGTGAGTATGGAAGAACCAAGAGTGATTCGCGTTTAATATTTATGTCTTAAGATTGCGCAGAGCAATTAATTGCTTTGACTTTGATCATAGCCGCTTAGGACCCTCGGGCTCTCAGCGTCAATATTAATCCCGCGGTCATAGTTGTTGTATTCGAAATAAATGTATATGGGCGGTGTTGAGCACGATATTGGTGTACCTGTAAACTTGTTTACAAGTCAATAAGAACTCTTGTGATGTGAAAAAAAGAACACGGTGGTATTCGAGATAGATGGATAGTGTCGGCATGGAATCGTTGTTCCTGTAAGCTCGTTTACAAGTTAAGAAGAGGGGTTTTGTGGAAGGTCTGGGAAGAGATGATTCGAGAAGATGAGCATGCATGAACACGAGTATCATGATGGAGAGAGATTAATGTTCGCGATATCCCGAAACTTGCTGGGGTAACACTTGTGAAGAGGATACAGTTGGAGTTGTTGTTCCTGTAAGCTTATTTACAAGTCAAGAAGAGTGATGTAAAAGAAACAAGCTAGAGATACTTCGAGGAAGGAGAACATAGAACATGAGTATGGAGAGAGATTCGCGATACTCCGTTGTTTCGACCGCCGGTCACCCTCAATCATACAAGTTGTCTGGATTCCAATCATTCCATCTCTCGTTAGCCTGGGGGATGTCTCCACCTCGCGGTGTTCGGTCTCAGGGTGAATTGGAAGTTATTCTGTGCGTAAGTTTGCGGACATTCTTTTAAGTTCTATTAGCCTCATGTCTAGTCTTCTTGATTCCCGAAGCTACATAACTTTGTGCTACCAACTCTTCTTTAACACATGCTTGTATGTGGGGACCCTTACTAGCGCCGTAACAAGCGCCGCTTGTACTTATTGGCAAGTTATTGCGGGTTCGAAATGATGATCGGTGTTGCTTGTTATTCTGTATTTATTTGATTGATTGTGCTGACTGATGGCTGACGGTGTAAGCTTGTAAGGAGGTACAACGTTCGCGGGAGCTAGCGAGATAGGTAATGAATGCAAGATTATGATGTAGTATGGAGATAAAGGTCCCGGTTCCGTGCAATTATAAGCGCAAATCGCGTGTTGGATGGATAAAGAGACGCTTAAAAGAGGGCGGGACGAATGGTATGGCAACGGTTAACGTTATCTGTCTGTCTGTGGAACGTGTGCCGAAGACGGGCCGTTGCTCCGTAGATAAGTGATAAGTAGAGGTACTTTAGTAGAGGGAGTCTGCGGATTGTCTTAGGTATAATTACACATGAAGAAATGATGGGAAGTGAGAAATGGACGGTCGCAAACGTTGTTGAAAGGTTCTACTATAGAATCGAACGTGTGCCACCGTCTTTTGGGGTGTATGCATTGGGAGTGAATGAGTGAATTGGGACCTGAGGCTGGAGCTCCAACTCGAGGGACGGAAGACCTCGACCAATTGCCGGCAAGGTGATAGATCGCCGTATACAGATCACCAACAAAATTTCGAGGGACGGCAGTTTCCGTGATTGACGTTGTGTCCAAAATGGGCAGGGGGAATCACATGCCAGATCCTCAGATGCTTTATCTCTGCCACCCGCTCCTTCACTTGTTCTCTCACTCACTCTCACTCATCTCGTCCTCCTCCGCATCTCTTTCCGCTTCCACCACCTCTTCCCTTTAGCAATGGCAACAGAAACACAGACTGCCCCCTCGGTGCTCACTGCGCCCCCAAACCTCCCCCAGTACACGGTGCTCTCGCGTGTTGCGAGCATCCCACTTATCAGTGACTCCCTCGCTGTACTTCATGCCACCCTCTTGAACAATGCTTTGACTAAGATGCCTTACTCCACTGCGCAAGCTATCGGCTCTGCTGCGTTCCGCGTATCAGAACCTATTCAAGCGCGCTTGGCGCCTGTAATCAACCGCGCGGACGGTATCGCCAACAAGGCAGTTGACGTCGTTGAGAGTCGTTATCCTTATCCATTCCACGCGCCTACCGAAGAGATCTACGGCCACCTCAAGCAGCACAGCGAACACGCGTACGGTGTCGCGAATAAGACTATCGACGATAAGGTCCGCACGCCTGCATATGGCATTGTCAAGGGCGTCGACCAGGTGAGGAACATCTCTTCCGTTACTCACGTGTATGACGCAGTGGCTGATTGCGTGGCACGCGGTGCCTTTTTAATTTTTTCCAGCGTTTTACACCTGTCGTTGATCGTTTTGCGTCTGTCGTGAATTCAATCAACTCCAAGAAGACAGATCCCGACTCCCCTACTCCCGACGGTCCTGCCACTGGCACGCCTAACGACGAGTTCCAGTACCGCCGTGCATTCCGCCTTTCTCTTAGTCTCAAAGACAGTCTCGTAGGTCTCACCAATGAACAGCTCAAGCAGATCCAGGAGCATAATATTTTAGTGTACGTTTGTGGTTCATCTGATCCATTCCATTCCTTGTGCATATATGCATCCGTGGACTAACTTTTCGATCGATCTTTTAAATCTTATTCAGTCAAAAAGCCGCTGCGACGGCACACTCCATTACTTCGACGATCTCGACCTCATATGATGCCGCTGCCACCCGTGTTCACGCGCTGTCGGACACTATGGTTGGTGAGCTGCATGGCTTGCAGACGTCTGCGTCGGCCCTACCCGCGCAGGCTCAATCGTCCCTTGGCGGGCTCTCGGAGCGTCTCGGCCCTGTCATTAATGAAGTGAAGGAAATACTTCGTTCCGACGCCCCTGTAAAGGAAAAGCTTGCTCGTCTCCGACAGACTGTCGAGCAGCAGATCCAGCCTATCCTAGCTAATGCAACTGCGAGGTTACAGGATGCGGTCAAGGCCGTTCGATCGAGGGCTGAGAGCGTGACTGCGAACGGCAAGTCCGCGCCTGCGCCGAACGGTACAGTGCCGAATGGTGACAAACACTAATCTTGGTGGTTCTGATCATCCCGGGTTTCACATGCTTCCTCTCTTTTTCTGCCTTTTTATTATTCCGTGTCTTTTCTTCAGTCACGCTGCGAAAAATCATAGACTGTACTGTTGTTCACCCTAGCCTGAGCTTGTTCAATTGTCATTTGTTTTCATTGTTCATCTTTTTTCGTCAAGCACTTCTCCTGTTCCCACTCCATTATTTTAGTAGACTCTCGCCCCGCTCCAAGTTGTCGTTTTTTTTTTTTTTTTCCTTTCCAACTTCAGCTATGAATCCATTAGATACATATGCTACGTCATAGAATACGAATTTACACACGAGTCAGGAATGACAATGTTTATGTTATGTTGAATGGTGCAAAGTGTGAAGTGTAAACGGTGGGTGGGAAGATTAAAGTCTTCATGTGAGAGACATAAATGAAGAGAAAAGAAAGTCAACCGGGGGAAAGGAAGGAACCAAAGTTATCTCAAAACACTGTTACTCCTACTTGTACTTGTAGTATCCCGACTATCGTGGCTCTGTACACGGATCTCAGCAACGTCATCGGCACCGTTCGCGTTAGTGCTAGGAATGGGCTCAGGCCTAGACGCGTTTAGACTGAGGTTGAGAAGGGAGGCCTTTTCGTCTAACAACTCGTGATTCTCGTCGTCACCATCGTCCGAATCGAGAGGTTCTTCAATGACAGCACCTGCTTCGCGGAGAGTTTGATATGCGTTGTCGACCACCTGTGGGAGTAGGGATTGTTAGTTAATACGAATTTGATGAGGAATAAGAAGGAAGAGAGAAAGGACGGAACGTTAGTATATGCACATGAATAATGAATATAGTCACAATTGGAATTGGAATGTTAAGGAGTGTGAAGAATATTTAATGAAGATCGAGAATTTTAACGAATTAAACGGATTAAGACAACCAAATGATTGGAAAAAGGAGAAAGGAAAGGAAAAAAAAAATAGACAAAAAAAATAAAAGAAACACGTGCAACCTCGGTGTTAAGCAGACGGACGGACAGACAGAAAACACAGGAACACAGGGACACAGAAAGTATGCAAGCAAGCAAGCACAGGTAGTCGGACGGCAACGGATGAAAGGAAGGAAAGGAACTGAGATGATTAAGAAAAAGAGTAGGACGGAAAACACATGCAACATCCCGGAGTTAAGTGGATGGGATGGAAGCGCAGAAACAGGGGTATAGAAACATAGACGCTCGGACGGCAACGGAGTCGGAGAATGACGAGGGGCCGGAACAAAAGCCTATATGCTGGGCTGGGAAATTGGAAATTACAGCACTGCACAGCCTCCTGTCCACCCTCGTCCTTGACTCCGAGGCCGAGGTGAGTCTCGGAAGGACTGATTGTGCGAACGAAACCTGAGTAAGAAGCCGGTGGACAACGGGATGCTCTCATTGCATGTGATATTGTTCGTTTTCCGATTTTCACGTTTCCGTCCGATTTGACTGTTCATCTCGCCAAGATGTGAACAAACAATGTCCTGTGCTCTCCGTGATTTATGTGCTTTGTGTGTACATCAAAGCTCGGGCGCATCCAGACACAAGAAATGAACAATAGATTAAAAATATAATGATTAAAAAAAAGGGCGAGAGGTGAAAGAAAAGAAAGTGTAGGGAAAATAAGAGCAGAAATCCACGTACCTCAATATTCTGGCCTGCGCTTATCGCCTTGATGATCTGCCCCTCATGTCGAGTATGTAACGTCCGTCTCAATGAACATGCGAGGAAAGATGACATGGTATTGAGTGGCCATTTCGGTGGGACAAGGTCGATTACCTGTTTGCGTTAAATCAGTTCACGTCAGTTCTTTAAGGGAGATTGGGAACAAATGGAGATGACGTACGTCCGTAACGTCGAGATTGATAGCTTGTGAGTTGAGGAGACGGGAAGTCCGGTTCATGGTGGATTCACTGTTGATAAAACCAAACCAAAGCACAAACGAGTCAGTACACCAACTAGAAGCTAGTCGAAAAAAGCAATGCATACCCTCCACTCATATATACACCCAACAATACCTTCAACAACTCCCTCCTCGTCGCCTCATCCGCAACTTTCGCTCCACTCCCCATGCTAGACGCAGACGCGCTGGAACCTAGGGTAGGTGCTACACCACTGACAAGCGCGGCCCATCGTTGTAGTCCACACCGCTCGCCAATCGCCCAAGCGACTTTACCTGGGATGACGTCTCCGCCGAGCGTACAGTACGCTTCTGCAGACGTTGGGTCGTGTACGGAGCGTACGAGTGTGGAGATAGCTTCTTCGTGTCTGCCGAGCTGTCATAGTGTTATTAATGAATCTTTGTCAAGGGAGAGAAAATAGCTATTTGAGATGGAAAACATACTTTGCCGTATAAGATCGCCATCTCGATTCGAAGAACCTTCTCTTGTGCTCGTATTCGAGCGAGTACTTTCTCCACGTCGTATAAATTGGAACCTTGAAGAAGAAGCGCAGCTTTTAATCGAGTATTTCGGCTCTCTGATTCGGGGGTCGTAGATGCGAAGTATAGAAGGAATGGGACGTCGTTGTGGCTGGATGCATATGACGAAGCTTTAAAAAAAAAGATGTTCGTGAGATGACTTTTGTAATGAAGTGGAAGAAATAGCAGACCTTTTGCTCGCCATAACTTCGCGGTAGTCTCGTCGGTGACGAACTGGAGAAGTTGATCGATGTAAACGTCAACAAGTTGGCTATGAAGAATCCGGTCCTTAATTCGACAGTTGGGCATCAAACATTGCCCTCCTAACAACGAAGAAGAAAAGAACGAACCTGACGTCGCTTTTGTAACACGAGGTGCTCCAGATACCTAACGCCAGCCGAATCACTCGATTCTCTTATCCTCTGCAGGAGAGAAAGCTCGTCCGAAATTGATACCCGTTTTGAGTCTCGTGATATAATAAGCTGAGTAACTATCAGTGAATCTGTTCGATCATTAGGGCAAATTCATTACCTTCAACCCGATCTCAGGGTCCTTTCCGGTCAACCAGAGACCCCATCGTTGTGCCTGCTCTCGACTGGAAGTCTTGTTCAGCAGTTCCGTCATTTTCGCCAGTGGATCCTTGATATCCTCGTCTGTCCAGATTCCGTCAGCCAGTCTGTGAACTATCGTCAGTCATGCCCAGACGAAAATACAGAAAGTTTTAGAATCACTTCGACCAAGCCTCGAGGAGCTTCTCTTCATTCCCAGCCTTCTCGTATAACTTGCACAAGGCGTTGTACTGCCCGTTCTTCTCGAACGTTGATTCAACTTCTTCGACGACGATATCATTTGCCTCATCAACAAGCGTATAAAGCTCAGTAGTGTCGTCCGTTTCAGCTAGGATCTTCGCAAGTACAGTATCCACGACCTGCACAGACAAAAAAATTCAAAATTTAGCACTTGGACTCGATTAGCAAAATAACGATAACCGATATTTACAGCATTCACAGAAGCACTCTGCGGTTGCGAGCCAGGTCTCGCTAATAACCTCCTTGTCCTATACTTTCTCAGATACGAAGCAAGCATATCCCTCGCTGTCGCGTTCAACACTCTCCTGAGTTCGGCGGTCGGTGGAGCAGATTCGACATCGGGTTTGATGTGAGGCGCGTAGTTCTTCACTAAGTCGGCCATGACTGCCATCAGCGACGGCACCACATGTGAGCGGGACGGGTGCGAAATGTCGAAGGGAGAGGTAAAATGAAAAGAAAATGAAAAGAAAGAAGAGTAGGTATATGCACAGGCACAAATGGCAAGGAAATGCTGATAGATTAAAAATGTGTTAGTGCTCACCGATTTCATCTATGGACGCGGCGCGCGGAAGGTGTTCCGCGATGCCCGCGTAAACATCAACGTCCAGAGCGGTGTTCAGGACGTTCCCACGCAGGTCAGGGAAGTAGCGAACGAGTAATCGAGGGTCCGTCTCTCCTGCTAAGAGGTGTCGACCTGCATCCTCAAAAAGGGTTTCCGAAAGACATAGGAAGCCGATTCGTTGGTAGACATAGCGGAGTTCGTCTGCCAGCTCGTCGTCGGACGTGTTGCTCCCGAGCATCTTACGCTGGCTTTGGTCGGCGAGGTCGACTACGTCATCTATGCGATGGCTTTCTAATAGCGCTTCGGCTTGGGAAATGAGGGTTGAGGGGAGTAACGCCTGGATCGAGTTTTCAGAAAGGACGAGGACGTTGGACCTTGGGAAGAGAGGAGGCCGGGAAGATGATTTTGAGGGAGGTAGAGAGTTAACGTCTATATCTGATAGAGCGGAGTCAAGCCGAATAGTAACAAGCTTTAGCTTATCCGTTCGTTGAGTAGAGGGTACTAGGAATCCCGTGTGCGAAGGGACGATAGCGCGTGCTTCAGATGCACTAGAGTCCGGTATGACCTGCACGACTACCTGAGTTTCAATGGAATGAATCTCTATGGTGTGGTTTGGCAGGAGGGCAGCCACATAGGGATAGTCCATGCCTTATGTGACAAGTCAGCCTACAATAAAGCAAGATAATTGAGATATCGTTACTTACATAGCGATACAGGATAACTTGTCCATTCGAGCGTGCCACGTACGGGATCACCATTGCCAGTGATGAAGACGCCCATTGCGCTAGGGCCCATATTGCTCGTGACTAGGAACTCTTCGTCGCTTATCGGGGTGACCGATGGTCGTGTTGGAGTGTCGCTATCTGGTGCTTGGTTAAAGGGAAGAAGAGGGTAGGAGGTAGCAGCCATAAGGTCAATCATATCGTAGTTCTCGGCATCTGCTGCACAGAGATATCGACCGTTACGTCGTCCATAGCGGATGCTAAGAGCATTTGGGACTTCCTAATGTGAGACCCATAAGTATTCGGTAGCGTAACTGTAAAGCAATAAAAAGTTCATACTCTCTGTTGAACAAGTCGCTCCTTCAACGAGTACATGGCAATATTCGTCCGTTTGATCACGCAGAATTCGATGGGTTCAATTTGCTGATACGGTTCTGTATTCGGAGGAAGACGCATGTGTTGCTCGTCCACCGAGAACGAGATGACATTGCGTATTGGTCGGATGATGGATGGGTGTACGGGATCAAGTGAGGGAATGATGTAGAAATGAATTTGATGGTCTAGGAAAATGTTAGAAACACAAGAACGTGAAGAATAATGTACGCACCGCTAAGGATAAGAGCCCTCGAAATACTTGGGCATAACGCAATCTCCTCTATTGCCTTGTTCGTTGGGAGAGTCTGCCGAGAAAGTAGAGTATACGACTCTGGCTTCGGAAAAACGTTCAATATCTTGTCCAACTACATAAACAACTTGATTACACTCACCGAATCTGGTCCATTCGCCTGCAGTGCATATCGCAGTAACGTCCCATCGGAGCATCCAACGTATATTTCCGAACCTATATCAGTTACACAAATGTCAGGCTTACATTCCACTTGTGGTTGTATTTGGGCTACCAACCTACGGCTTGCGCGCAGGTTACCTGTGGAGTTCCCGAGCTCTGAGGTGCGGGACTTCCGAAGCCTGTTTACAGTCCTGCGCATTAAAAGATTGTAATATTCAGGCAATTTCTATGATATAGCGTACCAAGACCTGAGTCGGGGACGTCATGATCAAATACAAGAGGGACGAGTTGCTGAAGCTGGAACGGCGGGACGTCGAGCGCGGGTACAGAAGCGAACGCCATCAAGGCTCACGCTCAAACAACAAAGCAGTTTAATGAGCAGGAACCTAGTAATGAATCAGGTGTAAGTGGCAATAGAGCATTGTTTATGACAGTTGTTAGTGACCAGGTACTTGTATCCCGCTGTGCTGGATGGTAGCAGTCATGATCTCGTGGTTCCGGTCACGTGATATATTAAATATTAATTTCACTTTCTTTTCGGAAGTTGTTGTACCACCCGTCAAAAATTAAATTTTAATAAAAATAAAAATTCCTTCTGCCATGTACCTCTACAAACCGAAAGCTATCTAGTTTAAGTTTCATAATCAGATGTGTTGAACATACAGATACACCAATACTATCAGAAAGCCCAATTTTTACTTTAATTCTTCTCATCGCGTTCCCGCTTAACAGCCTCTGCAGTAGCCTTCAACGCCCTTCCGAACACTTTCAATAACTCCTCCCTTTCCTCAGTACCCACACTGACCCTCACAAGCCCTTCCTCAACGCCCCACTGTTTCACCCAGTCCAATTCCTCGTAATGCGCAAGAATCGTGTACGGACACGCAAGCGTAAAGCTCGTTCCCAACGACGGGCCTTTCAAACACTCCAGCGCGTCGAAGAAAGCATGCGAGGCAGAAAGCGAGGTGAAAGTGACCGAAAATAATCCTCCATATGCCGAATTCGAGGTCTCCTTGGATAAATGTGGCGACAAGCAGACGAGGTAGTTTTCTGGTGTAGTGAATTTCGGGTAGAATACTTCCTTGACGAGATGCGGAGAGAAGGACTTGAGAAAGTCGCAGATCGCTTCGGCGTTTTGGTTGATGAGCTGTACACGTCGATGGAACTGCCGTGAGTTGCGTTCAAGGAAGATAGCGTCTTCGTTGAAGTAGATGTCGTCGTATTCGCTTTGGAGAGTTGATTTGAGAAGGGTGTAATGTCTTCCGCTTGGGTTCAATACCAAACTAAAATTAATAACCGCTTCGTCAATCCCAGAATGAATATGCGTGACAAGAGAAATGAATACCTTCCACCCATGACGTTCGAATCGCCACTAAACACCTTTGTTAAGCTACTCACGACGATGTCTGCATATGGAAGGACGGAAACATTCACAAAGTTCCCAACCGTCTCGTCTATGACGATCAAGAAATCATACTTATCCGCCAACGCACGTAAACGCGGCAGGTTCGGCGACCGAAGGAGCGGATTTGACGGAAACTCTGTAAACAGCGCCAAAATCGGTGGACTCGAAGACTCCGAATGATTAGGAGAGAGTTCGTCCAGAAGTTTCTCAAGCGCATCGATATCGCTATCAAGCCCGTGTCCGAAATGATAGCACCCTGGCCCCCATTTCTCCAATATTTTAAGCGTATCGGTGTATGGAAATCCGAAACAAACACTCTTTTGTGCGGGGCGAGTTAGGAGTGCGAGGTGGTGAGCCCACCAGATTGCTGACATGCCAGTTGGATAGAGGAAGACATCGTCCTCCGTCACGTTCTCCACACCGCGTGAACTCGGACCTAGCTCGACTTCCTCGCGACCTGCAGAAGGGTAATTCTGGGTATCGTTGACGTTATTACACGAATCGTGTACGAGGACGCCTGCGATCCGGCGACGTAAGGCGCGCTTGGCTGCAGCTGCATAACCAAGAGGCAAATTTCGTCCGTAACGTTCTTCAAGATATGAAGCGACATCCATAGATGACTCTTCCTCTGGTGGAACTGGGGAGGGCGACTTGACGGCGTAATGTCTATTTTGAGGTTTAGACGGGGCCTTTCTCTGCGCGGGTCGGTCTTCACTCGTTGGCGAGGTTGGTGACTCCGAGATCATCGCTAGGCATCTCTCGGCTGTCCGGCTCGAGATACCCATACCGGTATGTTGCCAGAACTTCTTCGCCAAAGGGAATGCATCCGAAGGGAATAACACGATATGCAGATCTACACACGTAGAACTTGATGGGACCGAGCTATCTTCTGGACAAATGAAAAATTCAATCAACCGGACAGGAACTGGAGACGTAGGGTCTGGCGACTGGGCAATCATGAATTCTCGACAAAATTCAGCCGTCTTCTTCGATGGACAGAGTAAACAGAGTTCGCCTTGCTTGCCGAACTTTTTCTCGCAGATACCTGCGAGCTAAACCCCTGATCAGCATTTATGCATATCTAAATAAATAAATGTAATACAATTCGAACATACCTTTTGGATACTTTTGTGAATGAAGAAACGTGGATAACCGGTGACCATTGCATCGACGACTCTCTTCTCTCCCTCTTCATACCCGACGTTATCTCGCCATGTAGGTAAAGAGACGGAGATCGCGTGCGCTGTGAAAGGCGGTACTGGTTGACCTAGTGTTTCCGTCATTGTGGTGGTCATCTTCACCTGTTTTAAGAGGTATTCTTTACACTACCAACGATGTATCAATATCCGTCAGAAATCGTCGTGCGAGAGACTCATCAACGTGTAGTAGCAGGCTTGGTAAAAGTTTAAAGCAATTGACTCCGCTAGCCCTGACAATAGTTATGGTATCACGTGAACAAAATAATCAATTTTCGGAGATTTCGGACTTGTCTCCTTTGACGAGAATGCATAGCAGCACTCGCACTTTGTACTAGTAAGGATAGCTAACGGTCGGGGGCAGCACAGGCTGAAGAAAAGACGTATAATATATCTGTCTCCCTCTCCGCTAGCCAACGTTCCTCTTACATGGACTCTGCCATAGCCTTTCTCTAAAATGTCTTGATTTCCTGAATACACTTCCACGGTTCATCACCCATGCACTACTTCTATTAGCAGAGAATATCTACATCCTTACATTAGAAATAAACAGTTTCACATATTGCACAAAAACCTCTGATAGATTGCTTCTCAAGAGCAGGTTAGAGTAAAGTCTGTCTGACTAGTTTTACTATCTTAACTCTTTAGTACAAGCACATTTAGGTTGAATTTAGAGAGGATAAGACTGTGTAAAGACCTGGTAGAGAATAGATAAGAGGAGAAGGTGTATATACAATAAATGAGATCCTTTCCTTACAATTTACAGATTGTACATTAACATTATGGCTTTACTCCTAACCTAGAACTTAACATTTTGTGAGAGGTATAATCTGATTAGTACTAGGGAAAAAATTACAAGCTATATACTATCTGTTGAAAATGCACCCTTTCATTGTGGTTGCTACCTTACAGGAACATGAGAAGGTGGCACATCACTTTATCATAGTAGAAAGTTATAATTGACTACAAATTGAATATATATATTTAATAGCAATATTTGTAGTCTGCACATCCATCCTATTACTGTAAGTTGAAATCCATTATTATACAATAGTATTATGTGTTCATAAGTAATGAGCTATACCTTTCTCATCTTAAATATTCTCATTGAAAGCCTCCAAGAGAACGTAGCGGCGAAAACCATTAATCCATGCAATAGTTCTTTCCAGACCTTGGATCTTACTATCACCTGCACGATGTGCTTGGGCGAGAGCAAGCTGCCATTCAAACTCTCTTTTGAGCAAGTCTTTTGTGTACGAGTTCAACTGGTATGTCCCTTGTTCAGCAGCATCGAAATCGGCTGTGCCTTCAAGGATTGCGAGTGTTGCCCTAACATAATCCCAATTCGCAGATTCTGCTAGAACGTCGAATCTCTCTGAAATCTTGATGAATGCTTTGATCGCGTTCTGCATATGTTGCACTCTTTCCCTTCTGACTTCACGGCTGCCACGTGCATGCCTCTCATGAGTATTAAATAAGTCGTGAATGTACCCAAAGAGTTCCATCTTGGGTTATGCACAAGGTAAGAGGAAATATCAAGCTCAGATCTTCAGGTCTCAGTCAACTGGAGGTCTGGGAATTGGTGTAATTGACTCATATTAATATACGGCATGGCATCACTAGCACTTAACAACCGGATAGCCCCGAGGACTACTCATCTGCAAAGTAATGTCAACTGTTCATTATATCATGATGCATTTATATTGCGTTTCTTAGATAGGAAGTACAGATCATTACAGTGTCAATGTGCTTAAGCTTATTAGTATACTTACAATTATGCTATTATGCAAGATCAATGATTCAATAAGTATTGTACTTGAGAATAGCTTCCAAACTAGTAATAAAATTTACTAAGGATCTAAAATCATATACTTATATAACTAAACAAGGAGAGAGGAAGGAAAAGAGGTATAGAATTAATGCTAACTCAAGTATGTCCTTGTTTCATTCTAGATTATAGAAGGAAAAAGAAAAACAATCAGAGGAAATTACAGAGAAGAGCATTTATTAAGTTATTGTAAGATAAACAAACAAACAAGTGAATAAATAAACAAACAAGTTCTCTGTACTCCTTTCTGTAATGCAAGTCTTATACTTATATACAAATACAATCCTATTAAGCATTATACATAAGAACTAGTTTTCTTAACTAAAGATAAATCAATTTCAAGCTCCAATATCAGCTGTATAATCTTATTTTCTTATAGTTACACAAGTTAACAATCTTTACTTACAAAATATAGTTAAAAAAAGGAGAAATAAATATAACCAGAGAAGAACTATATACTTTTTCTTATAGTCTAAGCCTTACACTTATACATTCTAATTATTAATATACTCAGACACTTGCCCTTTTTGTAATTACTAACTTATTTATATCTAAATAGTTCAAACAGTTAGATAGGATAGATAATAGATAAAAAACAAAGTAATGAGACTGAGACTGAGACAGGACAGAATAAAGCTGAAAGAACTTATCAGTTACTACTAAATAAATTATATGAGAATACCTGTTGTAAGTCTGACTAACAGGAGAATACAGGATTTGACACTGACAGGGAATAGAGGGTTGGATAGCCTGAGACTACTGTATATAGTGGATAATTGAGAAACACTTTGTAATACTGTTGGTAATATTATTTCTATTAGTGTATGTGTACTATTGTGTGGTTAGCCCTGGTTGGCTTTGTCACCTTTGAGCTTCTTGCACTGTCACGAATCGCTCATCTCTCACTTCCTTTTTCCCTTTCACTAGAGTTGTCAATTGCTACTGACATTGCCAGCTTTATTATTTGCCCCAATATTCCAAACATGTTCTCTTCCTGTGTGATGCATATGTAAGGCACTGCGTTACAGTCAGTTGAATGGTCTGCCGGCTTACACGGGGTTGATTCACTGCTCCCATGCAGGGTTTCGATGTTTGATGCGCTTTAGGCCAAGGGTTGTACAATAAATAACGCGTCAAAAGAAGCCATACCGCCGCATCAGTCTGCCGGATCACCTTACTCATATTATCATATCCTTGCGTTGCCGGAAAATCCATGCAACGCATCAGCTGCATGACTCCCGGCACAACAGATTCTGTGGATATAAATTAAAATGCTCATAGGTGTGTGTGCTTGAACTGACAGCTTTTGTCTTTGTTTTGCTCCGCTTCTAAAATGAGCCAGTCTAAAGTTGGTGAAAAGAGAACTGAGATGCCCTATAGTAATTTTGTCTAATCGTTTAGTTGTATTTGACCTCTCATTATTCTTTGTCTCAGTGCATCTCGGTAAATCAGGGCTGAAAGTATCCAAGATTATTTTGGGTTGTATGTTGTATGGCTCACCAGAATGGATGCCATGGCTTCTCAGTGAGGAAGAAGGATTAAAGCATATCAAAGCTGTGTAAGTAGCAGTTTTACACCCATTCGAATTAGTTTCTTATAATATCCCGTCTTGTTAGATACAATGCAGGGATTCAGACATTCGATACAGCCAACGTCTATTCAAATGGGCTCTCGGAAATAATTCTCAGAAAGGCTATCAAGAAATTCAATTTTCTGAGAGACGAGATTGTAGTCCTCACTAAGCTCTGCAATGTTGCTGGTTGCACGCCTGGAGAGATGTACCGTTTCAATGTCGGAAACAATCCAGATAATTATGGTTACGTTAATCAATATGGGCTGAGCAGGAAGGTAATGTTCATATACTGCATACTTTTGTGTGCTGACACAATTGCTTATTGACTTTTCCAATGTAAAGCACATCTTTGAATCAGTCAAGCATAGTTTGGAACGTCTTCAGCTTGATTACATCAATGTACTGTAATGCCATCAGTTTGACAAGAATACACTAGCTGAGGAAACTGTAAGATTGTCATTTACTCAAAGTTGTCTGGACACTCATTATATATCAAAGATGCAAGCCCTTCATGATGTTGTCAAGGCTGGATATGTGTGCTTCATTGGCATGTCCTCATGCTATGCCTGGCAATGTTTGTCCCAAACATACATTGATCATCAATCCCTTGCTCATCAGGAGAAAGTCACATTTCTTGTAATTTCTTATAGACTTTGTAAAGTAACATATGTATTGTTTATACATTATAAAGTAATTGTAAGGCTTGTAATTGAATTGCAATGTTTAAATAAGACATATTAATGTATATAAAGACTACATAAGTACTAGGGATGAATAAAATCTATTACATGTATTATACTAACTTTGTATGACAACCTAAAGTGTTATACTTGTATTATATTTAAATTATAATCTTAAAGAAAGAGTTGAATTTATAATATAATAATGTAATAATTACTATTGTTACCTTATAATTTATACAAAAGGTATATTAATGTATATTATACTTAGATTGTTTATACAAGTAGTTTACAATTATTGTAAAAAGCATTTCATCTACTTGTAATAATTACATTAGTGTGTTTATAAAGCTATATACATGTTATATTACTTTTTAATATATTACAAAGTAGATCAATAATTTTATTTTATACCTAAATACAATAATTGAAATGTTCTATCAGTTGACAACTCATATTATAGTTGCTTATGTAATCAACTGCTGAAGATTGAGAGCATATAATGATGCATTTCTCTTTGTCACTCCTTTACCTCCTACCTTTACTGTCTCCCCAACCCTCTGCCCCTAATACTATGTTGTTACCTCTGTTCTCTCTAGTCAAGTCCTTTACTCACAAGTGTCCTACTAGTAGACACTCTGTCTGTAACAACATAGGTAACAAACATTACTGTACTTGTCTCTCTATGAGTCTAATCTGTTACTATGATGCTTACACTAAGCCTCAGATCTTGTAATAACACAACCTAGCTGATAACACTATCCTTCAGTGTAAAGTATAAATAGTCAGCCTACTTTATAATAGTCTGTATAATAGTTGCTCATCCTTCTCCTCCCAACTTTTTGTCTCCCTTCCATCCCTCCTACTCCTTACTCTACCATTTGTATTGCCTCTCCTTTACTGTCCTCACTTTTTTACATTCACCTTCCTTTTTGCATTCACACACACATCTGTATTGTTTACCATTGCTAAACAACTTCTTTAATAATTTCATACATTTGTATGCCTCTTCCTACTCTGTAGTACAGACAATAATAATGAGTACATACTTGTAACAATGTCTCTGTACAACTACTCCTGTTGTGCCACTCTCTCTCTCACCTAGTACACACTCTCCTTTTCCACACATTCAGTACTTGAAACTACTCTAGATAGGCTCACACTGTATACATTTGTATTCCTCTGTACTAAGTATAGAATCATATTAAACAGAAGTATTAACCCACTACTCTCACCACCTACACTGAGTCTGTCAGCAACTTCTACATTACCTTCTCTCTTTATGTTAGGATGTCCCAGAGATACACTCTTGTAATTAATGACTCAGTACACTGTACTTTCTATTACTTACTATAGTAAGAGTATACAGTATACACACACAAATACAGATTTGCCTGTAGCTCAAATCAGTTTGCTCAACACTCCAGATCTCAACCTAGTGTACTACCTGCCCTTCCTGTACAGTGTTATAGTGTGTCCCTCTCCTTACTTTAAGTGTCTACACTTACTAACAATTCTGTCCCTTAAGTAAAGACTAGTTTAATAAATATTTAAAGTATGATTCTCTACAACTAGACTCTCCTTTCCTCCTTTCTTTCTTCTTACTTGTCTGCATGCTTGTTTTGTAAATACAATATTATTAAAATACAATGTAGTAGAATAGAACAAATACAAGTGTATTAAAATGTAAATACTTAATTATAAGAGAAAAAAAAGAGAAATAAATAAATATCTAGATTGTAAAATATTATAATGATTTTAAAGTCTTATAAAGCTCTTATAAAGTATAATAATATCTAACAATATACAACATACTTTTAAAGCTTTACATTAGATTGTATATATTATAAAACTACATTACTCTTGTTAAAATACAAAGTTCTTTTAATATCTTTTTATTTTAGAAGGTTGGATATAAGTTCATTTACATATTGTCAACACTTATAAACCTTATTCATATTAACAATTTGTACATACCTTTTTGTATCTTACATAGCTTTTTATAATTTTCTCATTTTTAGAGGTTAGATATATGGTCTTTTATATTTTTTAGAAAATTTAGAAAATTTATATGTTTATAAGCTAATATAAGCTTTAAGACTTTTCCCTAATGACTTGTGCATGGATTCCTCACACACCTGCTTGGTAAGCAGTCAAAACAAGATCAATCAGATGAGTGAGTAAGCTAACTCTTAGTATTCATCCATTTATAACCTAATATCTAATGATCTTAATTTGTCTTTAAAATTTACAGGATTGTACAATCTTTACAGTACATTTGAAGGTAATAGGGAAGTCAATTGTTATATTGAAGAGCTTGTAAAGAAGAAAGGCCATATAATGGCACAGATTACTTTAGTATGGATTGTGAATAAGGATTCTGTAGCTACTCTGATTGTTGGCACAACAAGCCTACAGAATATGAAAGAACTAATTAGTAAGCTCTATATTATATATAGTGTACAGAGAATTGAGTACTGACTACTCATTTACTTCCTATTTGTGTAGACATAGTATATATTAAACTGACAAAGGAAGAAATGAAGTACTTGGAAGAATTGTATTAGTTAATACTAGTTCTTAAGATTGTATTTACTAATTCTAAGAATGATTAAGCAAGTAATAATTACTGTCAGTTATGTTAGCAATTATAAATTGAAGGTTACAGATGTGTGAAGAGAGAATGACAGAATTGCTTGAAATTTTAGCTAGGAAGACAGAAAATAACAAATTACTAAGACTTAGTAATTTTACTTGTCAAGTACTAATATTAACAAAATAGTAGAGTAGTTCTATTATTATAGTAATTAAAGAACTGAGTTAATTTCTTTGTGTATTGTTAAGATATACAAAACAATCTTTAGTAGTAGAATCACTTATCTATAAAAGGAAAGATACAATCAATTACAGATCATATTCATTCATATTTAATAGTAGTAATATTTATACTCAGATTAATTCCTTTGTATAAGAATTTAATTCATGTGTCATTTGTTCTTCATTAGCAAATTTTGCTAATTGCTCAAGTCTTTAAAGTTGATTTTAATGTATACTTATTTTCTAGGTTCTTTTACAAGCCTTTAGTTGACTTGCTCTACAGATTTAATAAAAGTATTGATTATATTCTGTATATGTTTCACTCTTTACTTTTAGACTTCTATATCTCTACTAGTGTACTTTTATAAGCTCTATATAATGTTATAGTTCTTTACTCTTACACCTTCAGTTCTACAGGTTCTACACCCTTCTGTACTAGAACTCAGGACTTCTGTCCCTCAGGAGTACTATCTATAAACTATATGTAGACTGACTCTTACTACTACCCCTCCTTACTTTATTATTCTGTTCCTTTGACTACTCCTTCATTCCTTATTCATTCTATAGTCTCTTACCCTTTGTTTATCCCTTTATTCTTTGTACATTTATCTTTGACCTTCCCTTCCTTCATTTCTTTATAGCTCATTATTCTTAGTAGCTTACTATTTCCTGAGTACTCTTGTATAGTTTAGTATATATAAGTATATAAGATTAGACTAGTTCTATAGTCTTAATCTTGTCTACTTTAGGTAGTCCTGTACTCTTAGACTTACTCTATATACCTTACACTTGTCTTACTCTCTCTTTCTGCCTATTCTGTAAGTTCTGACTACATTCTAGTACTTATATTCTGTATTTCTATTGTATAGAATAGTTGTAGCCTAGGTCCTCTTACTAAGCCTTCAGGTCTCCTCTATACTGTTACTAACATCAGATTAAGACTACTCATTACTACCTTACAACTCTCCTACATTTTAGACATTAGTACACACTGTTACATTAATCTCTTTTCTTTGTCCTAACCCTTTTACATTTTTAAATTTTAAACTTTCTAAACCCTTTTAAACTTTTACCACCCTTCTTCTATTCATTACCCCTTTTAGTTTAGTGTTGATTCCTTTGTAGTGTAAACATAAACCCTTCTAAGCTAACTGTTACCTCTACTGTTCTGTCAGATTAGTAGTTATAAGTAGACCTAGCTCAATATATACAGACCTCTATCTAAGAGGCCTTTACTAACTACATACTCTCAGCCTCCTCAGAACCTGTTCTAATTGTTCTAGAAGTTGTAACCTGTTCTAGAAAGAAAGTGTATATAGTCTACTCTTCAGACTTTAATGAGTAGCACTTTAAGGACTTCTAGTACTAAGTTAAACTATATGTAGCTACTACTTTAACTAATCTATTCTCAGATCTCAATTGTGTTCTATTTGTCCTCTCCTTTATAAAGGAAGGTAATACAGTCACCTAGGCCTAGAACTGGATTGAAGGTTATTAGATCAGAAGTATAATCTGACTTTAGAATAATGAGTTGTACTCAGAATTTATAAGACAGCTCTGTACTTCCTTCATTAATCTGAACAAGAAGTGTAATGTGTAAAACAAGCTTACATCTTTGTAACAGGGTAAACATTCTACTAATACCTTCTTTCAGGAGTTTAATATTCTAGTCTAAAAGGTAGGATTTGTTACAATTATCTACCCTTGTACCTTCAGTTCTAAGGGTTCTACACCCTTCCATACTAGAACTCAGGACTTCTGTCCCTTAGAGGCACTGTCTATAGACTATATATATACTGACTCTTACTACTACCCTTCCTTACTTTATTATTCTATTCCTTTAACCACCCCTTCATTCTTTGTTCATTCTATAGTCTCTTACCCTTTGTCTATCCCTTTATTCTTTGTATC